TGGAAGCGGAAAGCTATCATTTAGGCATGCTTGGTTGAGGTTGGAGAAATCTATGCAAACTCTCCACTTGCCATTGGACTTCTTTACCAAGACTATGTTGGAGATCTACCTTGGGTATACTATCGCTTTTATGAACCCATTGGATATAAGTTATTGCACCTCTTCTTCCAGGGCTTCATACCACTTGGAGTTCAAGGTTCTCCTCTTTTGCCTATGAGGGGTGAACTTGGGGTCCATATTAAGATGATAGCAACCGACTTTGGGGTTGATGCCCATCTTCGTGTTTTCATACAAACATGTCTAAGTTGTTAAGTAGGGTCATGTGGGTCCATCAGGAAGGATTCAAGCTCCTCAACTGAGGTCGCTTGTGAGTTCGATTTAGTGACTCTAGGGTCCAATCCACATCGATGACCCCTTCCTTTGGGGTATTTATCATGTTGATGTCCCCGATCTCCTCGCACTGTAGCAATTCATTTTTTAGTGGGGAACTTCATGCACAAGTGGTGTGGGATGTAACAACCCCAAGTTCTTTCAAAGCAGGTCATCCTAACACTCCATTATAAACGAATCAGTGATCTACAATGAGGAATTCCATGAAGTGATGGGCAGCAAGTGAGGATGCTCCCATTTCAACTGCCAGCGTGATTCTCCCTCTAGGAACAATGTTGTCACTGGTAAAACCGTACACGGGGACGATCATGGGGGTTAGCTCGTGACCTATCATCATTTTATCATAGGTGGTTCCAAATAGGATGTTCATAGAACTCTCATTGTCCAACAGCAAGCGTTGAGCCCATTTTGGGCTATGACAGCCCTTACACCAAAGTGTCGCAATGGTGGTAATGAACCCCATTGGTATCTTCCAGCGAAAAATGTTATTGAAGGGATATTACTAGACCCACGGGGAGTGCTGTTAACAAAATAGCTCGTCATAATTTCTTTGAGTATTCCCTAACTCTTTTACTACATTTGAACCACCAATAATAGTGTTAATCTTCCTAATGAGATCGTTATCTGCATCAGCGAGGGGTTCTTTCCTTGGCCTGTAATCACCTCTTTGCCTATTTCTTTCTCCCTCGCGCCCTTGCCTTGGTGATTCATCTATGCGATGCCGAATCGCCTCATCACGTTTTGGTTTTTTTTCATGCCTAGGTTGAGGGGCATTCCATTATGTCTGATACGTGTTTCTTCTTTGAACATGGGAGCATGTTAGCTCTTTATAGTATGGTCTGGACCAGCAATTTTTGGTACTGTGGCTGTACGTTTGATGGTAAGTGAAGTATTGCCTATTTCTAGGCTCCTTGCTCCTTTCCCTACCTCTCCATTTGAATTGATTCGATTGTCTTTGTCCCTCAGATCTGACCACTTTGTATGCTAATGAGGGCACTACGTTTAATATGGCAGTGGCTAACGTTTGATGTAAGGTGGGGATGAAGGTATGTCCTGCTTCAATCCATTGATGGTTTACCAAGTGTGATACAAGATCTTACCGCTGTCTCTGAGGTAGTGGGAGTCCCAAGGAAGTTCGATTACGGTGATCAATTAATTCCTCGTTGACAATTTCGGTCCTCATCATTTCCACCAAGGCATCGTGTGATGTGGATTTTTTGTTTCGCACGTCTCTCCAAAAGAAGGTGTTCATGTTGAGGCCTTATCTTAGAGCTGAAAGGGCCTCTCTATCCGTGACCTATTCACAATATGTCATTTCATCCATGAATCGAGCCCCTTTTTTTTCAAAGTGTCACCTGCTTGTTGCCTCATGGGGGATAACTATTGGTGTCTAACCTCCGAGGTCGATTGAGTTCAGATTACTATAGAAGAAGAATAGGTCCTAACGTGTGGTCAGTTTGGTAATTGGAATCTGAGGCCAATCATTGAAGTCAGGTCGGCTATTATTGCTTGTACGAGAAGTTTATGTACTTTATCGAGATTGAAAGAAACATGATGATTGAAGATCAATGACGAAATATATAGATATCCAATCAGCTAAGTGCATATGTAAAGTTCTGACATTGGCACGCGCAAAATCCACCAATCAAATGATTAAACTCTCTTCCCTAAGTAATTCATTAATTACTGGGAACCACCTGCGGGATTACTTCATGATGGCCTGACATTCTGAGCTTGTTTACCAATCCAATTGGAGCAACAATTGTACTTCTTCAGCTCGGAATTACAGCTAACAAGACATGGGAGGCCGGATATGTGCATATTTCTTACTATAAATAGGAGATGCAAGCCAAAAGGGAGGGGGATGACAACTTTTTTTGAAGCATTACAACATCTCTTTGTATCTCTGAATCATATTTCAAATATCTCCTAAAGAGGATGAAAAACAACCTTGACTATTGTTGTAATATAGGATTATTGCGATCCTTTCTCATTGATAAAACTTTATTTTCCATTAAGTTGGCTTGACTATTTGTTTATGCAAATTTTAACGTCAACAGGTGTCAATGTGCATGGCCTCATCCAAATGACTAATCTTTCTTATCATAGGCATCAATCAATCACGGCCTTAAATGCTAATACCACTTTTGTATCCCTACGGCCTAACTTGCAGCATTGAACTTGATCGAATAAGTTGGTGGCGAGTTATCTTGTCAATCTCATAATACAATATATGTTTAAACACTCTTCACCACCTCGTCCCGAAACTGCTCTTCCCATGGAGTCCGCATGTAATGGGGTCGTCCGCGCTTGAGGGTCGGTCCGCTTCATATCACATTAGTGTACCAGGTGCGGGACCGTCAAACCGTTTGCCACGTAGGATGGTTGAGACCATGTGGGCATCCTCATGTAGAAATGCGTAACATACAGTAATGTTTGGTCTTACATATATGTATATGTCAACTTTTATGCATGTACATGTCATTTTTTTGGGGAAAATTGCAGTCATGGTACCAAACCTTTCAGATTTTTGCAGACTTTGCCCAAACATTTATTTTGTGCTACCCACGGTACCAAACATTTTAAAAATATGTACCGAAGGTCCAAACGGACGGTTTACGTCCAGTTGACCATTAGTTGACCAAAAAAGTTAAAATTGACCAAATTCATTAAG